CTCGGGCTCGGGCCTCGATCACGTGTGGCTCTGAGCATCGGACTGGCGCTGGCGCGTGCGCTCGCCGAGGTCCACTCGATCACGGGCGGCAAGCCATCCTCCAACGTGGTGGTAGACACAAGAGCGGACGGATGGTCATCAAGAGCAACCAGGGGACGATGGCGGTGGTGCCATCGGTGGCGTACATGGCGCCGGAGCAGCTGCGCGGAGCCGATGAGGGTTTGAGGGCGACATGTTCACCTTTGGCACGCTCCTCTACGAGATGCTCATGCGGGCGCCGGCGTTTGATGGCAGCAATGCCATGGAGGTCGGCCGTCAGGTCCTCACCAGCAACGCTGCTAGTGCGATGGCGGGTGATTCATCAAGCGGTGTTGGTCGGTCGATCCGCTGGTGAGGCCCATGGCGCAGGAGGCTGCGGATGTGCTGGCGGCGGCGAGGATGCGGGCGCGGTGCTGGGGGGAGTAAAGGCGGTGGGTGTTATGGGTGGCGGCGGAGGATGATGGGGGGGCGGTTGGAGAATACGGTGAGGAGGCAGTTGGGGTCGGAGGGGTGGGGGATGGAGAGGCCGGTGTGGTTGACAATGGTGATGCGGGTGGAGTTGTTGCGTGGGTGGGTGGAGGTGGAGCGGCGGGCGTGGAGCCAGAAGGAGAAAGTGTGGCGGGCGTGGAGGGTGTAGCCGGTGGGGGAGGGGTGCCACTCGAACGTCTCGTCAGAGTATGATTGGGAGACCAGGACCGGCAGCTGGCCATCCGCACTCGGCAGCGCAATCACACCCCGCACAATGTTGGTGTGGCCCTTCAGCACCTCGCAGGAGGCACTGTCCGCGGTGTACCGCATGGCGCCCGTCCCGTCGTCCGCAGCATGCCACACCCGGATCGTTCTGTCCTTCGACCACGAGACCAGGACAGGCAGCTGGGCATCCGCACTCGGCAGCGCAATCACACCCCGCACACTGTTGGTGTGACCCTCCAGCACCTCACAGGAGGCACTGTCCGCGGTGTACCACATGGCGCCCGTCCCGTCGTCCGCAGCATGCCACACCCGGATCGTCTTGTTGGACGACCACGAGACCAGGACCGGCAGCTGGCCATCCGCACTCGGCAGCGCAATCACACCCCGCACAATGTTGGTGTGGCCCTTCAGCACCTCGCAGGAGGCACTGTCCGCGGTGTACCGCATGGCGCCCGTCCGTCGTCCGCAGCATGCCACACCCGGA